TTCCTTGGAGTGATTTTTCGCTAGAAAATTTTGAAATTTTCCTATAATGAGCTCCTTATTTTCTTCTTTCTCCTGAAAAAAATTCACAAGTTTTGCTTTATTAGTTTTCCAGAAATAAATTGAAATGTGAGAGGATGAGTTTTTCTTAATTTTATTTGAAAAAGTCATTTTTTCAGAATTTTTCCTGGAGCGATTTTCTATTAGAAAATTTTGAAATTTTCTTTTAATGAGCTCCTGACTTTCCAATTTTACCTCTTTTATCAGTTTTCCAGAAAAAAATTAAAATGTATAAGAGGGTGAATTTTCCTTAATTTTGCTTAAATAAGTCAATTTTTCAGAATTTCTTATGGAGTGATTTTTCATTGGAAAATTTTGAAATTTTGCTATAATGAGTTCTTTACTTTTCTCAATTTTCACAATTTTCCTTTTGCCAGTTCACCAGAAAAAAATTTAAATGTAAGAGGATGAATTTTGCCTAAAAAAATCAATTTCCCAAAATTTTTCCTGGGGTGATTTTCCACTTGAAAATTTTGAAATTTTTCTATATTGAGCTCCTCACTTTTTTCTTTCTTCTGGAAAAATTTCACAATTTCCGCTTTGCCAGATATCTAGAAAAAAATTAAAATGTAAGTGGGTGCATTCTTCTTAATTTTCCTTAAAAAAGTTAGTTTTTCAAAATTTTTTCTTAAGTGACTTTTTACTGGAAAATTTCGAAATTTTCGTAAAATGAGCTCTTCATTTTCCTCTTATTCCTGGAAAATTTTTAAAACTTTCCCTTTGCCAGTTTTCCAGAAAAAAAATTGAAATGTAAGATGGTGAATTTTCCTTCATTTTACTTGAAAAAGTCAATTTTTCAGTATTTTTCCTGGAATGATTTTTCACTGAAAAATTTTGAAATTTTCCTATAATGAGTTCCTCACTTTCCTTTTTCTTTTGGAAAAAATTCACAATTTTTGCTTTGCCAGTTATCCAGAAAAAAATTGAAATGTGAAAGGATGAATTTTGCTTAAAAAAGTCAAATTTCCAGAATTTTCCTCTCGACTTTCCTTGGAGTGATTTTTCGCTAGAAAATTTTGAAATTTTCCTATAATCAGCTCCTTATTTTCTTCTTTCTCCTGGAAAAATTTCACAAGTTTTGCTTTATTAGTTTTCCAGAAATAAATTGAAATGTGAGAGTATGTGTTTTCCTTAATTTTACTTGAAAAAGTCAATTTGCCATAATTTTCCCTGAAGTGATTTCTCACTGGAAAATTTCGAAATTTTCATAAAATGAGCTCCCCATTTTCTTTTTTTTTTTGGAAAATTTTTAAAATTTTCCCTTTGCCAGTTTTCCAGAAAAAAATTAAAATGTAAGAGGGTGAATTTTGCCTGGTTGCCTGGAGTGATTTTTCACTGGAAAAATTTTCCTATAATGAACTCCTCACTTTTCTCTTTCTTTTGGAAAAATTTCACAATTTTCCCTTTGCCAGATTCCTAGAAAAAAATTAAAATGTAAGAGGGTGAATTCTCCTTAATTTTGATTAAAAAAGTTAGTTTTTCAAAATTTTTCCTGGAGTGATTTTTTACTGGAAAATTTTGAAATTTCCGTAAAATGAGCTCCTCATTTTTCTCTTATTTATGGAAATTTTTCAAAATTTTCCCTTTGCAAGTTTTCCAGGAAAAAATTAAAATGTAAGAGGGTGATTTTTTTTAAAATTTTGGTTAAATAAGTCAATTTTTTAGAACATATTTGAGATTTCAGTCATAAAAAAAAAACAAAAAATCACCCTTTGCCGTTTGTACATGATATTTAGGAACACCCTGTATAATACGCAGTTAATTAATTTATATATTTGGGAATCCAATGATTTTTCAAGGGCTGGTATTTCAATGTTACCTTAAGATATAGAATAAACATAGACATTGACAACATTGTCTGACCTTGTTCGATGACGTCATACTAAAGATAACATAAAAAACCTATATTTTAGGGTAAGTAACAATAATAATTGCGAACGTGCTCTATGAATTAATCAACTACAAATATTTTTTCTAAATTATGACGTCATTGATGACGTAAGTAAGTACAAAAAGTGCTTAAAAAATTAAATAATTTGGTTGCACTAATTTTTTATATTAGAGTTAGGTAGTGCCACTGTAAGTAGAGCTATGGTGGGATGCCGAATGGGAGTGCTAATTTTTGCTTTAGGGGTACTTAGCACCCCCTAGTTGCGCCTATGTTTGGAAAATTGTTAAAAATCTGATTCTTCTAATGATATTTTAATAAAAAAGACATAAAAATTCTATTATAGGGGCTTTAATGCCAAAAATTTAATTAAAAAGCGAGTTTACAAAGAACATTTTTGACCTTTTTCTAGTTAAAATTCCATGGAAAAATGAAAAGTTGTAATACCCAATCTAGATTTAAGTCGTTGAAATTTAATTGTCAAAAAAAAAAAAAAAAAATTGATAAAAAAACATTTAGAAATTTAATTTTTTTAATTTTAATTAATTGAAAAATTCAACTAAAAATACATAAATTAAAATGTTAAATGTCAAAACAATCTTAAAAAACTACTTACTCACAAGGCGCAAATATTAAATTTTGAGGGAATATTTTTGAGTCTTTGAGGCAAAATATACTGAAAATTTAAATCAATTGAACCAAAAATAACAAAAGTTACAAAATTTTTAAAATGTACAGTCTGAACATCAATTTCTGAGCAACCTAAAAAACTTTAAATTAACTTCACTTTGAACTTATTCAATTTTTGAGTTTGCAAAAACATTTTCAATAAAGAAAATTTGAATTTAATGAGAAACAAATTTCCTTTACCTGTATCTTCTATCTCTGGTCCCATTTCTAAACCTAAACCGTTTACGGTGTCTAGATCTAGATTTAGATCTTCTATTTCTTGAACTAGATTTTCTATCCTTGGATCTATCTTTATTAATTTAACAGATAACCTCATGGTCATTATGTTTTATTTCCCATTTCGAACTTTTCAATTTTTTTAATTTGTATTTTACAAATTTTTATTTTATTAATTTCTCAATTATTTTAATTTTATTTATTTTTAATTTTTTTCAAATGGGAAATGAAAGAAAAGTTAAATATTAAAAATAATTAAGATTGTCTGTTTTGGATATCCTGATTAATAAATGTATAAAATGTCCCATAAAATTATTGATATTATGTAGATTACAAGGTCAACTGCATTTGGAGGATGTCTACTAAACTTTTGCAAATTTTGATGGTCAATCTTCCATCAACAAACAATTTTTTCTCAAATTACCTTATACAAAACTTTATTGTTCAAAGTAATAATTTAGGGTCATTAAATAATCAAAATGTCGTGTCTTAAAAATGCTTTTTTGTATGACGAATTATTTAAATATTATAGTTATATAGACAATAATTATAATAAAGTTCAAAGAAATTTATCATTTAGCAAAAAATTAAACTTTATCATCATTTCCTTTTATTAATAAAGTTTTTTCAACTTTTAATAATAATTAGTCACATTTATATTGGAATTAGTGTCAGAATAAAATAATAATTTTTTTCACAATTTCAAGGCATTTCCTATAAATTCAAAACTGGATTTATTTATAATAAAAAAAATTACGAATTTTTTAAATCAAACACGTGTTAATTATTTATTGATTTTTAAAAGTAATAATTTACATAAATTGTATAAAAAAAATATATGTTTATGACACAAAACAAATAATTATTTAAATATTATTGACGTCATTATTATAATACTTGTTCATCTTGACTGCTATATTTGGTCTTATGATGATAAGTAAGGAAAAGTGCAATTTTTTCCTGTTAGTTTTTTTTGAGAAATAATTATTCTTTGACGTCAAAATAGTGTACTTTGTTCCTGATCATTCGATTCAACTGTTATTTAAATTATAACTGAAATATTAATGTAAATGTGTCAAAGTTTTGATTTTTGGCCATTTAATAATATGACCCTCTAGGAATAAATTGATTAACAAATTGTTATAATTTATAGAGGATTTTATTAGCTTTAATTTAAGCCTAATAACGTTAAAATCGGATTGAAATTAACAAAGTTATAGGGCAAAATGACAATGATAATGATTTTGTGACTTTAAATCTTTGCAGCTGCGAAATTTTCAAAATTTCAAACTGAAAATTTGTAGAGGATTTAATCGGCTTCAAGTTGAACCTAATTACGTTCAAATCGGATTGAAATTAACAAAGTTGTGGGGAAAAATATCTGTCAATGTATTTTTAGAAAAAAAATCAAATTTCTAAGAATGACAATTTTTTGACTTTACAGTTGCAAAAATAATCCAACTTCAAACTGAAAATTTGTATAGGATTTAATTGGCTTCAATTTCAGCCTGATTACGTGAAAATCGGATTGAAATTGACAAAGTTATTCACATTCAATTTACAAAAAATTCAATGGAGTTTTATCAGATTCCAGTAGAATTCTGTGAGATTCCAGTAGGATTGCGTGGGATTTCAATGGGATTCCGTAGGATTCCAGTGATATTCCATAGAATTCCAGTGGGATTTCATGGAATTTCAATGGCATTATTTCAGTTTGCTTGATGAGTCGATGTACCTACATATTGCATTCAAAATATGTTATTCTAAAAATTTACAAGAAATTTCATGGAATTCTATTCCAGTAGAATTCTGTAAGATTCCAGTAGGATTGCGTGAGATTTCAATAGAATTCCATTTAAATTCCATTGGATTCCGTGAAATTCCAGTGGGATTCCTTGGTTTGATTGATAAGTCGATATTTTTACTGTTTTTAGTGATTCATAAAGAATTTCCATGTAATTACTCGAGAAATTCCATTGGATTTTGTGAAATTCTAATAGAATTGCGTTGGATTTCAATAGGATTCCGTGGAATTTCAGTAGTATTTCTTGGAATTTTGTATTAAAAGTGGGATTTTGATGTATTTATACATTTTTCAAGCTGGTTTTTTTGCTAGATTTGATGTATTTATCCTTGTTTTTTCTTCTAGTTAAAGCGACGATGCTGTCCGACATGACAGAGATGCCAACAGTCGAACTGGGAAATTACACCCTTCAAATCGAACTGGATGAATTGAAACCGGAAGTCAAAGAAATCGCCAGAAAAGAACTCCGAGAAACGCCAGATGTCGCTAGAGAAGCTGTCAAAGAACTCAGAGAACTTCTTAAAGGTAAATGACACAAAATTGGAATTTATAACAATCCTTATAACATTCTTAATAAATTAATTTTGGAATTTTTTCAAAAATACTTCCAGGAATCTGAGCAACTTGAAACTTTCACGAATACGTAACTAAAGTGATTTTTTTCAAATGCAAGAAATTTGAAGTTTATCTGAGCCTCAGAAATAGAATTATGAGGTTTTTTCCAACTTAATACCAAAAAAAGTTAGAAAATTCACTTTAAATCACATTTGAAAAATCCTGAAAAATACTTCAGATTGATTTCAAACTTTCAGGATTTATTAATCTGGATGTTTTCATTTAACAAAGCAAATTTGAAGTCAATCTGAAGCTCAGAAATTAAATTATAAAGTTTTTTCCAATCTAATACCTGAAAAAGTTGGGAACTTTACATTAAAAATCACATTTAAAAAATCCCGAAAAATACTTCGGCGTATCAGATCAATTTCAAACTTTCAGAATTTATTAAGCAATATATTTTTATCAAATGAGAGAAATTTGAAGTCGATCTAAAGCTCAGAAATAAATTTACGAGGTTTTTTCTAACTTAATACCAGAAAAAGTTGAGAAATTCACATTAAATCACCTTTGGAAAATCCTGAAAAATACTTCAGAGTATCAGATCGATTTCAAACTTGCAAAATTTCTTAACTAGGATGTTCTCATTAAACAAAACAAATTTGAAGTCAATCTAAAGTTTTCAAATAAAATTATGAGGTTTTTTCCAACTTAATACCAGAAAATGTTGGAAAATTCACTTTAAATCACATTTGAAAAATCCTGAAAAATACTTCAGAGTATCAGATCGATTTCAAACTTTCAGGATTTATTAACTAGGATGTTTTCATCAAATAAGGGAAATTTGAAGTCAATCTGAAGTTTTAAAATAAAATTATGAGATTTTTTCCAACTTAATACCAAAAAATTTTGGAAAATTCACATTAAATCACATTTAAAAAATCCTGAAAAATACTTCGGAGTATCAAATCGATCTCAAACTTTCAGGATTAATTAACCAGAATGTTTTCATCAAACAAGGGAAATTTGAAGTCAATCTGAAGATTTGAAATAAAATTATGAGGGTTTTTTCAACTTATTACCAGAAAAAATTGGAAAATTCACATTAAATCACATTTGAAAAATCCTGAAAAATACTTCCGAGTATCAGATCGATTTCAAACTTTCAGGTCTTATTAACCAGGATGTTTTCATCAAACAGGGCAAATTTGAAGTCGATCTGAAGTTTAGAAATGAAATTATAAGGTTTTTTCCAATTTAATACCAGAAAAAGTTGGAAAATTCACGTAAATCATCTTTGAAAAATCCTGAAAAATTTTCGAGTGTCAGATCGATTTCAAACTTTCAGGATTTATTAATCAGTATATTTTCATCAGACAAGGCAAATTTGAAGTCAATCCGAAGTTTAAAAATAAAATTATGAGGTATTTCCAACTTGGTACCAAAAAAACTTGTAAAAATTACGTTAATTCACCTTTGAAATATCCTGAAAAATACTTCGGAGTATCAGATTCATTTCAAACTTTCAAGATTTATTAATCAGAACGTTTTCATCAGATAAGGCAACTTTAAAGTCAATCTGAAGTTTAGAAATAAAATTATGAGGTTTTTTCTAACTTGATACCAAAAAAACTTGTAAAAATCACGTTAATTCACCTTTGAAAAATACTTTGGATTATCAAATCGACTTGAAACTTTCAGGACTTATTAACTAGGATCTTTTTATTAAACAATGCAAATTTGAAGTCAATTTGAAGTTCAGAAATAAAATAATGATGTTTTTCACAACTTGATACCAAACAATTCTTTGAAAAATCCTGAAAATACTTTGAAGAATCAGATCCACTTTCAGGATTCATCAACTTTTCCCTATTTTACTGCTAACAATTCGACCCAGCTAACATTAAAAAATTTAATTTTTCAGAAGAAACAGACTTAAACATTCCCTTAGAAAACGACTTATGGCTGACAAGATTTCTCAGACCAACAAAATTCTATCCGGAAAGTGCTAGAGACTTGGTAAGTAGTACCTCAAAAAAACTAAAAAATATTTTATGTAAAAATTTTAGATCAAAAGATATTACGCCTTCAAAAAGAAGCACAACAACATGTACGAAAACCTATCTCCAAGTTCAGAAAGGAACATTTTCCAACAAAACATCCTCACAGTACAACCCAACCGAGACCAATTCGGTCGTAGAATTTTAATAATTGAACTAGGAAGTGAGTTAATAATTAATTATTATACACATTACAATATTGTCTACTTATTGATATTTTCTTTTAGAAAAATGGAAAACAGACAAAGTTTCTTTAGACGAAGTCTTTAAGGGTTGCGTTTTGTTTTTGGAAGCAGCCATGTTGGAACCGGAAACCCAAGTTTGCGGTGCCGTTGTAATTTTCGACATGGATGGTCTGTCGTTGGGCCAAACTACTAAATTTACGCCCAGCTTCGCTGGGAGAATTGTCGATTGGTTACAGGTGAGATTTGAACGTCAAAATAACGTCACAATAGTGTCCTATCAACAACGTCGCAACAACATAAGTGTCTAAATAACATTAAAATGACGTATGTTATAAACGCCAAAATGAAATAATGTTCATTATTGGTATGAAATAATATAGAATCTTTAATTCCACGCAGAAAGGTAACGTCATACACTAACTAAAGTTATAACGAGAATAATATTAACACCAAACAAAATATGATAGGTAAACCCTACCAAACCATCCTTTTCCACCTAATTCTATAACATCTTATTTATTGAGGTAGAAGAGGTATATAATTTTAAAAAGTTTTTCTAGGTAGACTGTCTAGACTTATCTGCATAATTTATTTATTGTCTCTTTGGACACTCTATTTTCAATGTACGTGTTTAATACAGAATTACCTATTTTACAATTATGCAATAGGATTTATTTTTGTTGTATTAAATAATCCAACATTCATTAATTCATTTTGTTGATTTGAAAAAAAAAAGAAAATAAAAGGAAATGAAGTTTTCGAGAAGAAATACACTTTATAAAAATGAAAAACTTCAGAAAAAAAATGCATAAAAAGTTGAAACAAACATTCAGTCAGTTTCAAAGTTGAAATAAAACCAAACAAAAACAGAAAAATACTAAAAATAACAACATAAAAGTGTAAAAAAAGTTTCAAAATGTTGAAAAAATTACGCAGAAACATTGAAAGAACATTTCAATTTATACAAAACCTTTTTAAATTGTGTACTTTATATATAGTCTTTATATGAGTGCAAAATAAAGTATGTTTCTTTGTATTTTAGGAATTTTGTAATTTTTTAAATAATAAGAAATTATTATAAATTTTAAAAAAAAATAGCAAGGTTGCGCAGAATTTAAAATTAATTTTTCTTCAATTTCTTCATTTTGTTTCTGATTTTTTTTTCTATTCCCGGCTTTTGAATTATCGTTGTTTTTCAATTCAATATCTTTGTTCCCATTTTATCACTATTTCTTTCTTACTCATTGAATTTTGCATAACATTTCTCTCTATTCCAGGCATTTGATTGGCCAAATAGAAGATTTCTCAAGCGCTAGGAATAATCAAAATTCGTGTCACTTTTTTTTATCCTATTTTATATTTGTCTCTTCCTCAATCATTGAATTCTTTATATGTTTTCTATTATATTATACCCAGGCTCTTGATTTGCCACACACAAATAACCAAAATGTATGTAAATATGTTTATTCCCATTTCACATTTCATCTCTGTCTCTTTCATACCCATTAATTTTGCATAACATTTCTCTCTTTTCCAGGCACTTGATTGGCCAGATGCAAGACTACTCAAGCGCCGGAAATAATTAAAATTCGTGTCACTTTTTTGTATCCTACTTTATATTTGTCTCTTTCTCAATCATTGAATTCTTTATACGTTTGTCTCCTACTCTGTTATATCCAAGTTCTTGATTTGTCAAACACAAATAGCCAAAATTTGAGTAATATTTTTATTCCCATTTTATCTCTGTCTCTTTCTTACCCATTGAATTTTGTATAACATTTCTCCTTATACAAGGCATTTAATTGGCCAGATACAAGACTACTCAAGCACAAGAGATAATTAAAATTTGTGTCACTTTTTTTAAATTCAGTTTTATATTTGTCTCTTTCTCATTCATTGAATTCTTTATTTATGTTTGTTTCCTACTACCAAAACTAACCCAAGTTCTTGATTTGTCAGATACAAATAGCCGAAATTTGTATAATATTTTTGTTCTTATTTTATTTCTGTCTCTTTCTTACCCATTGAATTTTATATAACATATCTCTGTACATATTCCAGGCACTTGGTTGGCCAAATACAAGATCCTATTTTATATTTGTCTCATTCTCAATCCTTAAATTCTTTATATGTTTATCTCCTACTCTACTGTTAAACCCAAGCTCTTAATTTGTCAGACACAAATAGCCAAAATTTGTGTAATATTTTTATTCCCATTTTATCTCTGTCCCCTTCTTACCCATTGAATTTCTCATACCATTTCTCTCTATTCTATACACTTATATAATTACATAAAAGACTATTCAAGCGCGGGAAAAAATCAAAACTTGTGTGCCTTTTTTTATTCTACTTTATATTTGTTTCTTTTTCACCAATTGAATTTTGCATACCATTACTCTCTATTCCAGAAGCTTGATTAACCAGATACCAGACCAATCAAGCGCCAGGAATAATCAAAATTCATGTCACTTTCCATTCATCCTACTTTATATTTGTCTCTTTCTCAATCATTGAATTTTTTATACGTTTGTCTTTTACCCTGTTACCCTAGTTCTTGATTTGTCAGATACAAATAGTCAAAATTTGTGTAATATTTTTGTTCCCATTTTATTTCTATCTCTTTCTCACCCAATGAATTTTACATAACATTTCTTTCTATTGCAAGAGCTTGATTGGCCAAATACAAGACTACTTGAGCGCCCGGAATAATCAAAATTCGTGTTACTTTTTTTTATTCTACTTTATATCTGTCTCTTTCTCAATCATTAAATTCTGGATACGTTTGTCTCCTACTCTGTTATACCCAAACTCTTGATTTGTCACACACAAATAGTCAAAATTTGTGTAATATTTTTGTTCTCATTTTATTTCTATCCTTTTCTAACCCATTGAATTTTGCATAATATTTCCCTCTATTTTAGACACTGTTGATTGGCTAAATACAAAACTACTCAAGCACGGGGAAAAATAAAAATTTGTGTCACTTTTTTTTTAATCCTACTTTATATTTGTCTCTTTCTCAATCATTGAATATTTTATGCGTTTGTTTCCCTCTCTGTTATACCCAAGCTCTTGATTTATAAGAAACAAATAATTAAAATTTTTGTAATAATTTTATTCCAATTTTATCTCTATCCTTTTCTTACCCATTGAATTTCGCATGTCATTTCTCTCTATTCCAGGCATTTGATTAGCCAAATACAAGACTACTCAAGCACCGGGAATAATCAAAATTCGTGTTATTTTTTTTTCCTACTCTATATTTGTCTCTTTTTCCATCATTGAATTCCTTATACGTTTGTCTCCTACTCTGTTATACCCAAACTCTTTATTTGTCACACAAAAACAGCCAAAATTTCTGTAATATTTTTGTTCCCATTTTATTTCTGTCTCTTTCTTACCCATTGAACATTTCTCTGTATTACAGGGATTTGATTGGTACGATACAAGACTCTACTCAAGCGCCGGGAATAATCAAAATTTCTGTAATTTTTTTTATTATCACTTTATATTTGTCTCTTTCTCAATCATTAAATTTTTTATAGGTTTGTCTCTTACTACCCAAACTAACCCAAGCTCTTGATTTGTTAGACACAATATTGCCAAAATTTAAGTAAAATTTTTATTCCCATTTTATCTCTATCTCTTCCTTACCCACTAAATTTTGCATAATATTTCTTTCTATTCCAGGCACTTGATTAGTTCAGATACAAGACCACTCTAGCGTCAGGAATAATCATAATTTGTATCACTTTTTTTTATCTTACTTTATTATATTTGTCTCTCTCTTTATCATTTAATTCTTCATATCGTTGTCTCTTAGTTTGTTATACCCAAGCTTTAGTTTTATCACTGTCGCAAAAGCTATTTTTTGTTATCTCTGTCCTTTTCTTACCCATTGAATTTTGCATACCGTTTCTCTCTATTCCACGCACTTGATTGACCAGATATAAGACTACTCAAGCCCCGGGAATAATCAAAATTTTTATCACTATACTATATCCGTCTCTTCCTTACTTATTAAATTTCTTATATCGGTGTCTCTTACTTTGTTGAAAATTTAATTTCTTTCTTAAAAAAACATCGATTTTTCTAAATTAAGTTTTCTTTGCTTTTAACGCTGTACTTAAAGAAATTAATTATTTATGATTGACTGATATTTTTTCTCAATACGTCCCTGTGTCATGTTAAATAATCATAGCCTACTACTTCATACAAGGATACATCTACAGGATTGCTTATTGGTCTCGTTTTTGGTAATCGCCGCCATATTGGTGTGTCACCATTTCTGACATCATAACTAAGTCGTTAGCTGTTTAACACGCCTACGTCAAGGCTAGAAATAACATGCTGCCTACGTCACAACTGGTGATTTGGTAGGGGGAGGGAGGGCTGTTTGTTCCACACAGGTCTTATGAGGATAGGCCATCCTATAGTAGTAGGTATAGTGTATTATCCTTGTACTTCATATACGAACAATATTTGACAAGAAACAATTTATGATTTTATCTGGCATTTCTTCTTAATATGCCTCTGTGTTTTCTCCTGTCAAATAACGATTGCCTACTTCATATACCAACCATATTTGACAGGAGATAATTTATGATTTTAGCTGGCATTTCTTCTTAATATGCTCCTGTGTCCTGTCAAATAACCAATTGCCTACTTCATATAGAAACAATATTCGAAAAAAGGTACTTTTGTTTAAGGCTAAATTATGGAGTGACTGTTAAACGTCTGGTTGTTACTTTCTATGCTCTAGGGAATAGAAAATACCTGCTAGGTAACAACCAAACATACTAATTGGTCCATAATTTGGCCCTTAAGGCAAATTTAATTTTACATTGCAAAAATGGAAAAAAGTCACTCGGCCATTTTCAAATTTATTCTTGAAAGACTTAAATGGCAAATTCTATTGGTAGAACCAGTGCAGAAAAAATGTATTTTTATCTCTTTCTTATACAAGTTGGTAGAAAAAGACATGAATACACTCAGCACGCAATAACCCTTTCAATAGAATTCGTTAAAAGTAGGCTTTGGAAATATCTATTATTATGCCGGTATTACAGGTGTCTTGTTTAGGCGCCAAATTCAAACTTTACCTATTTTGTCGCTTGTTAAACTGTCGTCTTGCTACATCGACATCGATCAACAGCATTTAAGAAATGTTGTCTCTATTACAGGCTCTTAAATTTTCTTTACTTGAAGAAATTTAGAAAAAATTCAAGAGCCGATG